TTTTTTAATATAGTATAATTTCTTCAGTTATTTAGCATATACATATAAAAATAAATATATATGTAAATGATGTGTATATGTGTGTAATAAGGTAAAATTATCAAACAATCAATGTTAATAAACTGTATAAGACACAGTGGTGATCATAAAAACCTATAGAAAATAGAGCCACGTTTATTAAAATTAATTAAATACTTACCTGTTTAACTCCACTTGCTGATAATGTCATTTATCGAATGTATAGTAGCGACAAATTACATACCATGCTACAAAAACTGACTACTGTTAAAATATATATCGTGTTAAAAAAATTCTAAAATGTTCTGCGCTTTAAGTAGTCTGGTTATATAATAATGAAACCAAATTATAAATGTAAGTTTATTAAATAAAATGTGTTACATATTAAAGTCATTTTAAATGTAAGACATAATGAAGTTCTAATAAAACTTAATTAACTCCTTAAAATTTCAGTAAAAATGGCAATATATTCACTGTACACCAGATAAGAAAAGATTTTCACTTTACGCAACAAAGGAAATTCGTAACAATTATAAAATTTATTATTTACTCGAGAAAAATGATGAAAAATACACTAAGATCCGAAAATAATGAAACTATATATTAGCTACTGCAAAATAAGTGACATTATCGCAAGAAAAGGCAATCTGGAAAATAAATATATTAATAATTTTTATATCAATGGCTCTATTTTCATAGTTATTATTCTATTTTATATTTTATTTTGACATATTTCAACATAAAATATTAAAAAATTTAGCATGCTATATTACTTTTTGTAACCTTTTTTTATAAATCCGGATGACTGTACTTCTGTACTGTATATTTACAAAGTAATAGTTTTTACCTTTGTATATGTCAAATATAAAATAATATATAATTTACAAGAGAGTTGAATAATAATAAACTTAAATAATAACCTTTATCCTGTAAAAAGTTTATTCGAAAAATTTTTTGATGTTCCAAGTGGTGCGTCAAAATATTTGAGAAATTCCAAATTTCTTTTATTATATTTGAACCATCCAAATCAATCAAAACATTTCAAGGAAAGATCACCAACGAGATTCTGTAAATTGAAACCAGTTTTATATATTATCTACAATATCGCTGTGATAGATAGAGAATGTTGATGTTTGAGAATCATTAATATTTCAGTTTTTGTCTATATAAATTACACAGTAATATTTTCAGTACCAGTACTTTCTTTTAATGCATTCTCTAAAAAAAAACCCATCAGATCTGGCGCTGGATATTTTATTATAATCAAATAAAAGTTATCAATTTTATAAATTCATATTTTAATTAAACATTTAAATTAGTTTAATTAAATATGAAAATCAGTTATACAATTACAAATTTTGATGTATTTATTAACGAATATATATCTATATATACCTACATATATATATATATATAT